GCTTTGCCAGCGACAAAAATAACTATTTTCAAAATTCACAGCAGGGCTTTCGCCTACACACACCGTGCTGACTGGAACCTGAAGGAGACATGCAGAACGAGTGTGCGGAGGGAGCACGCCGTGCTCTGCGGCAGGCAGGCCCGCAACCCCCACGCCCCGACACACGCACACACGCGCGCACACACGCACAGAGCTGCCCAATAGGAAGGGTTCTTAGATCACCCACTGCACACAGCGGCACACTGAGGGTCAGGGATCTGCCAGAGGTCACACAGTAGATCCCTCCTGCCTCCTAGGATGCTGGCCACCCCCTCTACTGCTCACTTGGCCACCCCGAAGGCACAGGCACCCCACACGTGCCCACAGACGGCCTGCAGGCTCCCTTCCGTGGGATGCCACTTTAATCGAGTTCACCGGCTCCCCCACAACCTTGCCTTGGCCAATCTTCTGTGGCCCTGGGTGTGAGGGAAGCAGAGTCCGGGCTAGCACCCCATTTCCCAGTGGGGAAACCAAGGCCCATGCGGGAAGGGCTGTGCCTGGGCCAGGGAGGGCCCAGGTGTCCTGAGTCCTGGTGCAGGGCTCTTCTGGAAGCTGTCTCGCCCCCCTCCACTCTGCCGCCGGCCGATGGCCCAGCTGATGTCTCTGGGTGCTGGAGGGCTGGGAGAAGAGCTTTGCACCACAGCTCCCCGTGCCAGCCTGACCCCGGGACGGGCACAGGCCAGGTGAAGACCCAGGAAGGCCCACCCCGATCCCTGCTCTCCACCCTCAGCGCTCAGGGGACCCCTCCAGACAGCAGCCAGGTTGCCGCGCTCCAGCCTGGAGTGGCCTCCCTGTGGCCCTCACCCAAGCAGCACAGAGAAGGTCCAGAGTTAAGGGCGAGGGCTTAAATGACCCGTGAGGGGCAGTTCCAGCCTCAGGAACCACCACAGAGTCACAAGGTCATTCGAGCCCACTTTACAGATGAGCAAACTGAAGCCGAAAGCTCATGCAGGTCCCCTGAGGTCACAGAGCAAGCTGACCAATAAGAGGCGGGACTGAGCCCCGGGCATCCTGGTCTGACCGACTCCCCGTTCAGCCGAGGGGCTCTAGGCTTCTGTTTCCCTGCAGCGGGAGACGTGCCCCCAGGCTTCTCCCTGAGAAGGAGCAGGGGCAGTCTGAGGGGGCAAGAACATCTGGGGACAGACACCCTCCTCCCCCTCAGATCCGGTAGGACATGAGCCTGGTGTTCAGTTTGCGGAAGAAAGACCGAAGCTTGCAAATCTTGCACTTCTTCTTGCGGTGACCCCGGGTGTAGCTTCGCACCCGGTCCTCCTCCTCTTCCTCCTCCTCCTCCTCCTCCTCGCTGGCCCAGGGCCCCCAGGCACCCCCATTGAAGTCCGGGTGGGCCCGGGGGTTCTCGGCCGGGTAGCGCACGGGGATGGCCGTGCGGTTGTAGTAGGCCAGGCGGGCCAGCAGCATGCGGACCACGTCGGGCCTACGGCCGGCCAGGTCCTCCCGCTCATAGGGGTCGGCGCTGATGTTGAAGAGCCACACAGCCTGGCGGACGCTGGCCATCCGCTCCAGGTTCCACCAGCTGCCGGGGAAGGCGGCCAGCGTCTGCGGCGGGATCCAGTCGCCGTAGCCCGGGTCGCCGGTCAGCAGCTTCCACTCACCCACGCGGATGGCGGCCTGCACGGCCGTGTTCCAGATGCCGAAGCCGCCCTCCAGGGAGCCGTGCCGCGCGTGGTTGTAGAGCGGGTCGATGTTGTGCAGGATCTCCGTGCGTGGCGAGGCCCGGCCCTCGCTGATGGCCGGCCACACGTCGTAGCCGTCCAGTCCGTCGGCCACGGAGGTGGTGCCGCCCGCCAGGCCCACCAGCGTCGGGTCCCAGTCGGTGATGTGCCCCAGCGCCCGGCTCGTGCGCCGCTTCCGCTTGAGCAGGGGGCTGTGGACGAAGCCCAGGCCCCGCACGCCCCCCTCCCAGTAGGTGCCCTTGCGTCCCCGCAGCGGCCAGTTGCTGCCCCCGGAGAAGGTCTGGCCGCCGTTGTCGCTGGAGAAGATGAGGACGCTGTTGTTGTAGAAGCCGTACCGCTTGAGGGCCCAGGTGATGTTGCGCACGGCCTCGTCCATGCAGGTCACCATGGCCGCGTACTTGCGCCGGGCCACGTTGCCCATGGCACGGTAGCGGTACAGATACTCGCGGGGGGACTGTAGGGGCGTGTGCACTGCCTGGAAGGCCACGTAGAGGAAGAGGGGCTGCTGGGGACTGTGGCTGGCCAGGATGCGGCTGGCGCGCTGGGCGTAGAGCATGGTGGAGTACTGGCCACTCAGCCCCCAGGCCACCGTCTCGCCCTCGTGCAGGTCGAAGCCACACACGCCGGGGCCGTCGCAATTGTCATACGTGTAGTAGTCCACGTTGCCCGTGAGCGAGCCCAAGAAGGTGTCGAAGCCCCGGCGGGTGGGCAGACACTCCTTCCGGTAGAAGCCCAGGTGCCACTTGCCCACCATGTGGGTGGAGTACCCCGCCTCCCGCAGCTTCTGGGGTAGCGTCACCTGGTCCAGAGGCAGGCAGTTGGGCTGCCGAGGGCGGATGATGGAGTGCTGGAGTCCTGTGTGGATCTGGTACCTGCGAGAGCGGGGCACAGAAAGCACAGGTGAGCTGCAGGCCACAGCTCCGGCCGCCCAGCCCCCCACACCACTCCCAGGTGGGCGCTGGTGGCAGCACTACCAGCCAAAAAACAGTCACAGTCGCCACCAGGTGCTGTCTAGCATGCAAAGCACCTCAAATGCACGATCTCAGTGAATCCTCAAAATCAATGGCGGTTGTTATCATTGTCATTTTACAGATGAGAAGACTGAAGCCCTTCACCCAAGATCACACAGCTACGAGGCTGGGGCAGTAAGAGGTGAACCCGTGAATGATGACACAATAAAAGCTGATTCGAGCACTCCCTATTTACAGGGCACTAAATCCCTTCTGTGGATTGCCCCAGGAAATCCTCATCACAAACTAGGAGGCACTATGAGTACCCCCACTTCTTCAATAAAGACAGCGAGCAAAGCTCATGAATTAAATTGTTTGCTGGGGACTCATGAGCTGGTGGGAGATCTGTAGCCCAGACTTCAGAGTCCCCGAGCTCTGCTCCCCCAGGCAAACTCTTATTCACGCCTCAAAGCCTGACCCAAATGTTCCAGTAAAGCTTTTCACAACTCTCCCAAAGAATAAGTTGCTTTTGCTTCTGGGTCCCCAGCACTGGGTCCACACCATTTTCCTGTGTGGCCATGGGACTATACTCAATTGTGCATGCTCTTGGGCCCCGTCGCATGGAATGGGACTGTCCTTTCTTCAAACTTGTATTCCTAGACCCCAAGTGATGTATAAAGGACACTCCGTTATTTGAAATGAATGACTGGAATGAATGAATGACACTCAGAGGGTCTTAGAGCCAGAAGGGACCCAACCCATCTTCTAGTTTCTTCACCTCATCCAAAAAAGAAACCAAGGTCTTTTCAAGGGGAGGGGAAGGGCTTTGCCCAGGGTCACTTGGTGATCGGGAGCAGAGCCAGGACCTGAACCCAAGTCTAAGAAGAGTCCACGCAGAGGCTTTCTCAGCAAGCTATCCTGCCCCGCCTCTTCTCACAGGGAGCTGGGTTTGCATGGGAGTGGACTGGTCAAAAAGGGAAAACCTTTAAGACCCGGACAGTTTCCATGAGCTCCGTGAGCTCCTGCTGCCCCTGGACCTGTCACTCACACAGACAGACGCTGAAGCAGGAGAAAGGCTTCCAGAACCCTGAATTCCCTGTTTATTCATTAATGCTGCACCTTCCATGGCCAAGGCCCCTGGGTGATCTCCTCATGGCTTTGTCTTGACATGTCTTAAAAGTCCCAGAGTAAATAAGAAGCTCAGAGTTTCACAAGTGTGTTAGAACCCCATACCTTTCCCTCACCCTCAGGCATCCATCCAAGGTAAGCCAAGACTTGGCACCTTTAACCCAAGCACTGGAACGGTTTTCTCTGTTTTAGTTTTCTTATCTTAAAGTTTTATCCTTGTTAGTTATAATTAGCTACCACTGCACCATTTTCTTTTTTCTTTCTTTCTTTTTTTTTTTTTTTTTTTTTTTGAGACAGGGTCTCACTCTGCCAACCAGGCTAAGATGCAGTGACATGATTATGGCTCACTGCAGCCTTGACCTCCTGGACTCAAGCGATCCTCCCATCTCAGCCTGCCAAGTAGCTGGGACTACCGGTGTGTACCACCACACCCAGTTAATTTTTTGATTTTCTGTAGAGCTGGGTCTCACTATGTTGCCCAGGCTGGTCTTGAACTCCTGGCCTCAAGTGATTCTCCTGCCCACCCCTCCCCCCCAGAGAGTGCTGGGATTACAGGTGTGAGCCACTACACCTGGCCTCTACTGCCATTTTTTAAAAACACTATGTGCTATGCACATATATTATCTCATTTAATTCTCATTTTAAAAACCTACAGGGAAGACTATTATTACCCCCATTATACAGATGATGAAATAAGGTTCCCAAAAGTGCAGCAACTGTCATACAGCTGACAAGCTGTGGAGCTGAGCCTTGAATCCAAGTCTACCCAACTCACGCTCAAAATCTGTCCATGATACGGCCATTCCAGGCCCCAGTTGAGCTAATAAATGACAGTACTTGGTATGAGAAGCACCCTAGGGCCCTGAGTCCCAGCCGAGCCTCTCTTCGCGAGGGAGGGGCCCGTGGAGCACTGGTTTGCAAAGCAGGGAGGCTAGCTCAGCGCATTGCAGCCCATCAGCACTGGAGTTCCAGGAGAAACGCGGCCTCTCACTCACCAACCACTGGATGTGCCAGCAGACACTCACGACCCAGTGAGCAACT